TTTTTTTTTTTTTTTTTTTTTTTTATTTAAAATTTCAATTTTTTTCAATGGTTTCAAACTCTTTGAGGTCATAAGAATTCTGAATTGTATTTCTGTATTACTTAAAACATTTGTGGGTATTTTCTTTTATGGTATTTAACATTCTCAGTTTGTGTCATTGGTACAAATTTTTCAAGGTTCTCATTGTAATTTTATATGACTTGACTCATTCAGGGGTTTATATATTCACTGTGGTACAGAACTATAATCGTGAAGAAACTGATGTACAGCACAAGCTGTTTGCTTTACAGAAAAGAGGATTTTTTTTAGGTCACCTGAGCTTTTAGCTCATTTAGTGACCTATTGATATCCGTCGTCCGTTAACATTTTACAATTTCAACTTAAGCTGAAATACTGCAAAGGGATTTCATTGAAGCTTCTTGGGAATGTTACTGACATCTCCCTGACCAAGTGTTGTTATTTTTCGGGTCGATCAGAAATCCAATATGGCCAACACGGCCGCCATTTTGTAAAAAACTATTTCAAATTTAAAGTAAAGTTCTACTGGGCCGATTTAACTGAAACTTTGTTGGAATTATTGATTCATGGTCTTGACAAAGTGTTGTTTGTTTTCGGGTCGATCAGAAATCCAATACGGCTGCCATTTTGAAAAAAACTATTTCAAACTTAAGTCAAGTTCTACTGGGCTGATTTACCTGAAACTTGGTAGAAAGGATTGACTCATGGTCATGACAAAGTGTTTTTATTTTTCGGGTCGATCAAAAATCCAATATGGCTGCCACGGCCGCCATTTTGAAAAAAACTATTTCAAACTTAAAATCAAGTTCTAATAGGCCGATTTAACTGAACCTCGGTCTAGGAATGATCAACTCATGGTCGCGACAAACTTAACTTAAGGTTATACTTAACTATTTTTTACTCAAATTGGTAGGGATGATTGACACCATTAACTCCACTTCATATTTCAACAACAAAAATAAATACTGTAGGACTCCGGTGACCGTTAATGTTCATGGGCATCTTGTGTAATATTGTCACACTTTAATGTGTTCTCCGGAACAGGCAATGTGTAGTTAATGAACAAAATGATTCAGAAATACAAACTGATATTTTCTATTCCAATTGTCTTTTTACAAATTGTGTCACTTCAGTTGGGTTTCATGTAATAGACCTGATACTTGACTTAACCCTTTCACCACTGTAGACCATAATGGACTCATCCAGATCAATGCATGGTAGAGTCTACTAAAGTTACATAGGGGTGAAAGGGTTAAGTTAATGTCTTAGTGTTGAAAGCTGTGCTGTTATAATATTTTAATGTTAATATTATATTTCATATTGATACAAATTTCAGATTCTTCCTCGGATGATGATAGCATATTTGGGGAAGAGGTATCCCGGGACTTTAACCGCGGCGGTCGTTTCCGTGACAGTGGCGCAAGTTCGTCGTCATTTTCTGACGCTGGGGCATCACCACATCACCAAGGAGGGCGAGGAGAGCGACCACACAGTGCGGCGTACGCCATACCAGGAAACACGTCACGCCAAGCCTTGGCAGATGTTCTCCAGAGCTCCAGACATTGTGAGTGCTCCTGACAAAGTCGAGTGGTACAGGGCTTAGTTTGGATAATATCATGGTCACAGATGACAGGGTTTTACTCATAATGGTTTACTTGATATGACTTCCAGTTGGAATTTAAGATTAAAGGTCAAATCTTAAATGGAACGTACTTAAGGAATCGGTAAAAAATTCCTTTGAAAGCTAATTCCTAGCTATTGAAAGCCCGATTAATTTTTCACCTGTGGTGTAATTTAACAGACAATATTTACATTTGTGTTGCGAACGCGCATCATGGAATATGTTTGAACGGAACAGTGTTTAAATGTTTAAAAAAGATGCATTTCAAACCTTAATTGATATTCCTAAGTTTTAAAAGTACTCAAGGATACGAAATAATGATGGGATACACATTTCTGTGGTATGCTAGCATATTTATAAATATTTGGAGGGTAAAAATTATAACTGTCAGTAGGTGAATGTCTCTTAGTAAATGTCTCTTACCATTACTGTTTACTGATGGATTAAAAATTTGATAAAATATTTTGAAATTTTGAGAGTTTGATGTTGCAACTCGAACAGTATGGCTATTGGTTAGAATATATAAAGACATCAATAAGCCAAGGTAGCTGGATGTTAAATACTAGGTGTAATCTTTGATATAGATTGAGGAATTTCTTCCATTTTCAATTAATTAGTACATATGAAAGAATACATTCAGTTCAAAAATAAACTTCAAATCAATGAATCCTCTTTATGCACCTAATACAATCTTAATTAATAATCCCTTTTTTTCACAAAATTTAGTTATGCAGTTTTCATTCACAAAATATGTGATGATTTGATGACCTTTACCCCACAACCTCTTATACATTACTGATCATGGTCTTGTGTGTGTTTGTCCTTCCTAGCACAACCAATCCCACAGCAACCAGATGTCACTAACAATGCCAAGAGTATGCGCCAAGCAGATCGCGTCGGCCATTATGCTCCCGCTCACCTCTCATCCGTGCGCATGACATCCACTGGTCATGTTTCTGGTCTCCAGGACGATGGTAAATTATCCTGGTCGACAAAGTGCTTGATATTAAAGAAAATTGTTCAGTTTGTCCAAACGCTTTGCAGACCTGGCACAAACAACTTTGACTTGCTGTTTTGATTGGAATGTTTAGCCATTAATCATTTTCAATTCCAAAGCTTTGAAATGGAAAATAAAAAATCATAATAATCATTTGAATACATGACGTAGACCAATCATAACTTTTTACCTAAGAACTAACTCATGTGTAATCTGTTGCAAGATCTATTTATAGATATTTCAGGGGTTCAGAAATAATATTGAGCACACTAATCTTTCGTAATAAAGTGAAAATCTACGCTAACATTCATATCGTCATTGGTTTGAAAGCGCTAATTTTAATTCACCGATTTAGAAGTGTGTATTTGGTTTGATAGATAGCAAGAATACTTTCTGATAAAAGCCATGTGTAAAATAGGGCTAATTTTAGTTCACCGATTTAGAAGTGTGTATTTGGTTTGATAGATAGCAAGAATACTTTCTGATAAAAGCCATGTGTAAAATAGGGCTAATTTTAATTCACTGATTTAGAAGTGTGTATTTGGCTTTATAGATAGCAAGAATACTTTCTGATAAAAGCCATGTGTCAAATAGGGCTAATTTTAATTCACCGATTTAGAAGTGTGTATTTGGCTTTATAGATAGCAAGAATTCTTTCTGATAAAAGCCATGTGTGAAATACTGGTGTGTTAATATGATATTTTGTTATTTATGCATTTATACGGGACAAATTTTAAGATTTCAAGACTGTTGGTCGCATAGAGTTATTTTATTTTACTAGAAATGTGTTCGCTGTCATATTGAATACACTAATTTATTGCAACTTAAACCTCAGAAATAAAACTGCAGTCCAAAGTATCAAGCACAGAAACTAACAATTAATGTTTTAATGCAAGTGACAAAAGAAGATCTGGATAATGTGTTAAATTTTATTTTGACCATGTTTTGTAGGTCCACGCCACCAAGGTAAAGTTTCAGCTAAAATTCAACAGCTGCTTAACACATTGAAGGTAAGTGAGGTGACAGTCAGATTATCTCCCTTTATCAAACCACTAGCAGGGCGTAAAGTCAGTCTTCTAATTAAAATGATTATTCAGTTATTGTTATTAAATTGACAAAAAATAATAAGTACTTACGTTGTATTTATTTTACAAATAATAGTGTGAAACGCCATAGTTTATGCCACTTTACAAGGAATACTTTAAAAGTGAGGAAAATGCAAGATGTAAGGAAATCATGTGATTTCAAAAATCAAAATTGATGTTTTAAGATTCAGTAGCTTCCCTCCAAGAAAGAGGAAAATGTTGTAAGTGTACATTCCTTTGTACCTCCCAGTCTCAAGTTAACTCACAAAGGGCTAACATTGTAGCTGTATTGTATAGCAGGAAAAGTTAGAATTGTACAATTTAAAAAAAAAAAAAAAAAAAAAAAAAAAGCCAAATTAAAAAAAAAAAAAAAAAAAAAAACAGAAGCCGAATTCAAAAACACAGGGCAAATTAAAAAAAACAAAGACCAAAGGATGAATTATTGCTGTTTATATCAAACGACTGATGCTTTGGGATAGGCTTGTCTTAATTGAAATTGATCAATATTTTATAAAGAGTAAAAGTCTGAAATTTTGTTCTTGATCAATATTTAAATGAGCATTGTTCATAAGGGGTTGCTTATAAATGTGAAGTTATTTTTGACCCCACCACTGGCATATTATCAATTACAGGTGCCTCCCACAAAAGTTTTAATATCAAATCCAGGCATAATAGTCTTTTATATCGCGTTGAGCATATAGTACTGTCCACCAGGGGTTACCCTCAACTGTACTGGACACGACTGGCTTAGAGAAAGTAAGATATCTGTTAAGTATTTTAGCAATTACTGTATATGATTAAATAAACTTTGACTTTGTTTTTACAGAGACCGAAGAGAAAACCGCTGAAAGATTACTTCGTGGAAGAGGATGACGCTTTAGAAGGTAGTTACTTCACCAGTCTGCAAACAGTTGTTTACTCCAAACTATCTGCCGAAAGCTCATCTCCATGATACGTTTTTACTACCAACAAACTTACTGCTATATACTGTTTTCTTTAAATTATCTTTATTTCTCATATTACGTGTTTACCACCAGCATACTTACCCTGCTACTTAAGGTTTCTGTAAATTACCTTTATTTCTCGAGATATATATTTTTGTGTTAATTTGCAAGGAGAGACGGTTGTGAGTTCAAATATCTTCGGGACATTTATTCAGACGCTGTTAAACATGGAACAGGTAGCTTTTATTGTTCCTTTTGTGAATTAAAAACCACGCAAATAAGTCGTCGGAAACACAATCTCGAAAATATGTATACGCAAAAATTGAGTGTTTTACAGTATAAAGACCTGAGGTTTGGCTCCAAGGTTAAAGAATAGTCTCCTGAACATCTTGCTCTATAACTTAATGGCTAGATGAATTTCTTAGCCACCTTCTCTTATCGCTCTACCCCAACACACACACCATTTTTTTTTTTTAAATGTGTAGATGTTGTTTGATACAGGAATGTGGCAGGGGATTACCCTATGGGTGTGTTTATTAACCATTGTACTATGTCATCTCTAAGAAAAATTAAATATTTCTCCAAAAACTTTCTCAAATTTTGTTTCTTTAACATACTTCAAACAAAACATTATTAGTCAGGGTCTATAAATAGACTTGGATTGTCACCCCTCTGCCATCCTCATTTTCTGCCAAATTTGGATGAAATTTTATAAGTTTTCAGTACCGAGATTACTGAAATTTAAGTTCACTGCCTGAAGTAAAATTAAAACTTAAAGGCTACTGTTACAATAAATAAAAACTGCACTTATATACAGAATAAGAAATGTGGTGGCGATGTTGATGTTTCACAAAATTTATTCTGAATATCTTTGTTTTGTAGCTCCTCAGCCTGACCCTAACGCCCCAAAACCAGAGGGCAGCACCCTCACACCAGTACCCGGAGAACAGCTGGTCGTAAGTAGAGGATATCCGACAAGTGATGATAGATATTTCTTTCCCATTGGACAGGTTTATCCCCCGTTTTACTGGTGCTAGAGAATTCTATCTACTCCGAGGGCTAGACAGCTTACACGCATAGTGACATCACAATGGAAGAACAAAGACGTGACGTCATGAATTACCGCAATTTCAGGCCTAATTGTTTCCTTAATTGTGTGTTAAAAGATGAATATTTTGCATATATTTCAGCAATTCTGGTCAATATATGGAAAAGAATCAATCTATTGAAGACAAGGATATCCAACCCTTGTGATAAGATTTTTTAGTGTCCATTACACGGCAGAGCCTCTCGGGTTAGATACCCCGTTCTCAATAGATGATGGGGATAGGTTCTATTATTATATTCAGTCAAGGGAACCCTTTCCAAAGAGCAGTTGTCGAGTTTCAGCGAATGGATAAAATTTGAGAAAAGTCTCGTATCACATCAAATATAAATCATTATCTATTCACATGATTTTATCATTTAACCCATATCTTCCAGAAAAAACACATTTTAGTTTGAATTTTTCTATAAGAGAACATTTGATGTCAGACATGGTATCTCCTAGTGCAAGTTGTGACTCACAAATACTCAGACGTCATGCTGTATGGTGTTATTTCACACGCTGAAATTGTTCCAAATTCTTTACTTGAAGCCAATGTTTTGAGTCATGACAGCCTAAGTGTTCTTACCTCAGTACCCAACATAACTTCCCTTAATCTCTAATAGTTTTCCGAGTCTTCTCAACTGTGAAATAACTAAGAACCCATTGTTGCTGAAATTTTATGACATTTTGGAGTTTTCTTTACTTTCTTCAGGTAAAGTAGAATAAAAATAATGTTTCTGACGTATGGCTTTCTACAGGTGCCGTCTGGCCTTCCCCGTAACCTTGAAGCAGCACTACAAAGATACGGGTCCTCTACATACAAGGCCAACGCTGTTACGGTCCTCGACCAGAACGGGAAACCTTCCATCAACCTCACTTACGGTGTGTAGCGTCACAGTTACCATAGTAGCAATGCTTCAAGATACTTCAACAGTTACCATAGCAGCAATGCTAAAAGATACTTCAATTTTCAAAATGCTATATTGACATCTCTTCTATATATATATTTCTTATATATTTGCAATTGATTCTGGAAAAGCAGTGTTCCCATTGAATTTTGGATTGGGGGGGTGATTCTGTACCCTTAGGTTCTAAGTTAAATATGGCAATTCTTGAAAACTGGGGGCACAACCAACTGTTTGGAGGTGAAAAGCACTCATTTGGGGGTTTCTTGAAGCACTGGAATATTGTGAAAAACGTCAGATAATGTATGTTTTACACTGATTTAATTTACGTCAGAGATAACTAGGTCTGACCTGGAGGCAAATTGATTTCACAAAGAAATGATTCTTTGGGAAGGATATTGGTTAAAATATTGCATGTTTACATCTGTATGTCCCCAAAAAAGGAAAAGAGGGGCAGGCATTAAATGTTCGTATTTCTGTCCGTCTGTGTGACATCATGTGTTGTCACACTTGATATGTGGGTATATCTTGAGGAGTACTACATCAATATATCAAATATAGGTCACTGTGACCTCTATTTACCACTTCAGTGACTTTGGTTAGACTAAAGGGCCATTTCTTAGATTAAACTTTGTGTTTACCTCAATTCCCATCAAAGTTTGGGGAGTGAGGCTATGCATATTTAAAAAACAATAAAAATATTGTAGTTGGCTTTTAGCTATGTATATTTTGGCGGTTCTGTTCCCAGCTAATTTTAAAAATGAGAATTGTTAGAAACGGCTGTATTTCTAAGATATCAATTTATGGAAAAGAAGAAATTGGTTAACCAAGGCAATTGTCATAAAGCAGGAAACTATGTAACAGACAATGGGCTGTACAAAAATATGGAAGAAGTATGGGAGAGCAACCTGTTGTTGATACCCAGTTTTAACTGTCATTTTTGTTTTACAGGAAAGCTGCTGAGTCGTACACATAAAATTGCCTACACCATGCTCCACAAGGTGGGGCAGAAAGGCGAGGGAGGAATAAAACCTGGTGACCGGGTACGTACCGGCGCAAATTTCGTGATTAGTTTTCTGTGACGACTTTATCACATAAGTGCTATATGTGCTGTTACTTGTAGTCATAGAATAAAACGGCCCATCACATTTAGACTTTCCGGAAATTATTAATCAGCTACATGAAAAGGGTCGCACACTGATGACTTTTGTGACATCACGTTATAACCAAATAGGAGTGTTACTGAGGTAACAGTTGCCGCCTTGTCATGGAACTGTCCTTGGTTTTGTATTCATATCAACAGTGAAGAATTATGGGTTGTTCCAGAAACAAATCTGATGTATAATGTGACCATATCATGCTGCATAGATTCCGGGCACCTTGTATGTCTCATGCTCTTAATTATCATTCAACTTGCCCCGAAAAATAAGAACCAAACATTGTAGCTGATGAAAAAACCTGTATGTCATGTACATTGAGCTTGGTGAAAAGGTCAGCTGTTACAATCAAGAGGTGTTTTTTGAGGCCTGAGAAAACCGGTATTTTATCTTTATTTTTCTCATCCTTAAACGGGTCTGATCTAATTTTGAAACTTGCAGGATTAGTCTGTGGATCTGACACAGGCTGCTGATTTCCAAAGATTGGCTCTGTTCAATAGTTAGATGAGCTAAAGGATGCAAAGTGGCGACAGTTTTTCTTTAACCTTTAAAATTATATATGTATCATTATCATACCATATTTCGAAATTGAATATCAATAAGAAACATGTTTTGCTTTGTCCTTTCCTCAATAGGTGGCGCTGGTGTATCCAAACAACGACCCGATCTCGTTCAGCTGTGGGTTTTATGGCTGTCTGCTGGCTGGTGTGGTGCCTGTCCCTGTGGAGGTTCCATCTTCACGACGGGTAGGTACAGGGTCACAGCATGTACAGGTCCCTCTATACAGGAAATATATTGACAGAATTGGAGTCACTTTGGCATCCTGCCTCCCCTACATACACCAATACATGGATCCTTCTGTAGAAAGGCACTGTACAGGAATCTTTGACAGAATCACACCATAGCACCCTGTCTCCCCTAAACACAACAATACATGGATCCTTTTGTAGAAAGGCACTGTACAGGAATCTTTGACAGACTCTCACCATAGCACCCTGTCTCCCCTAAACACAACAATACATGGATCATTCTGTAGAAAGGCACTGTACAGGAATCTTTGACTGACACTCACCATAGCACCCTCTAAACACAACAATACATGGGTCCTTCAATAGAAAGTAAATGAAAAATAGTTTTCCAGACATAATTAGGGTAAATACAATACCCTGTCTCTGCTTCACAAAACATGGGTCTGTCTATAGACAGTCAACATACATGACACATCATGACAAAATTGGGGAAAAAACAGTATTGCATGTGTCCCTTCATGTACAGGCATCGCGAGAAAATCACAAGAGGTTCAAAGATTTAAAGCTTACAAACAAAACCAATTGGGCAGTACAGCCATGCTTTTTCCATGTGAGCTATATAGGATGGCAAGAGACTTGCATGAAAATGAAAATTAAATGTAATTCGCTAGCCTAGAGCTCTTCCAGTATGGGTTCTAAGAATAGTTATCCACAGTATCTGATTCGGTATGTCTTGGAATCGGCTTTAGTGTGACAGGACGGGGGGATTGCTGTTGTAGACAGGGAAATGACTACCAGGGCTAGTCTTGTTGTGCTAGTAGTTGTCATGGGCTACAGTTTCTTCACCTGTTTTGCGACGTTTTGATTTCCCTGCTATTTCACATCTATCCACATCTTTTTTTACAATATATATATATATTAATGTTTTATTTAAATCGTAAAGTGGGCGTTGGCTGGTTCAGTCTGTGTAATGATTGGTTGGCCGTCGTACCCCGAGTATAACACGTGATCATTTGTGTTTGCCTGTAAACACACTAATAATGAAATATCCAAACTTTGGGTATGGAAACAGGAGATCTGTAACAATACCTGCTGTTAAGCTGCAATACTTATCAAACATATGTTTTTATCTATCTATTTTTTAATTACATATTTTCCATTAAAATGTTTTAATATTAAATTACCATATTCATCGATACCTGAGCTGAGCTCCAAAATTGTAACACCCTGTATGAATTGTGGTGCTATTTTGCCTAAAATCTGGTATTGAAATAACAAAACATCTACATGTTTGTGAAACATCATTATTGATCCATAATGTTTTCATGTAAAAAAATCTTATAAAAGCCTAGCAATTAGTTTTACAAAGTCAGTTACGGTGTGAAACATCATTATTAATACTATATAATGTAAAAAAAAAATCCTATAAATACCTACCTGACGCGTTATAAAGTCAGTAACGTTCCCAGAGTTATTTTCTGTACTCGTATTAACAGCATTCATAACAAATGCTTATAACAAACACTTCTGGGTCAACACGGCTTGGTTGTAAGCAAGCATTTAAAAAATTAAACTTATTTGTTTTAATGAAATTTTAACAAATATAATTTCCAACTTCTTAACACTGGCATGAATCCTCAAATGCCAGATGGTAGAATATTCGCATATCATTTAGATAATCAACATATTTCCCAAATTTTCATTTAGAACTTTTCACTTGAAATCTCCTTTTTTCAATATCAAATCACCTTGATCAAATTTGAACAAGTTTTTCCGAAGATTTGATTTGGAAAACTGATTTGAGCATTCAAATCAATAAATAAAAGATGCATCTAAGCATATATTTACCATGATTTATTTTTTTGCATCATCCCCCCTTGTTATATCCTCATGTCCCAAGCTTCCCTCATTTCAGCCCGTTGTTGTTGATGATAGCAAGGTAAGTTAAGAAATAAACTCATTTTAACCACAACATTTCACTTCCAAAAACTATTTGTTTTTCAAAATGTCCTGTTGTTGTGTGTTTTTGCATTGTGTGCTACTTTGACTGTGAAGACAACACGCCTTGTCTAAGTCCTGTGTTTGTGTTTGACTTTATCTAGCATTTGTATGGCGTAGCTTTAATTAGGGGGAGGGATGGGAGGGAAGAGGGGGGGGNTTGCAAAGGTAGAACTTTTTTTGTTAAATTCATTATTAGTGTTTTATTTGTCTTTTTCCAAAAGGGAATCATTTTTCTATCAAATTCGGAAAAGCAGTGAATATTGAATCAATGTAAAAGTAGTGAGCTTTCACAACTTAATCGAGTCAAATTATAAAAGTAGTGAGCTTTCACACCTTAATCGAGTCAAATTGTAAAAGAAGTGAGCTTTCACAACTTAATAGAGTCAAATTGTAAAAGTAGTGAGCTTTCACGACTTAATCGAGTCAAATTGTAAAAGCAGTGAGCTTTCACAACTTAATCGAGTCAAATTATAAAAGTAGTGAGCTTTCACGACTTAATCGAGTCAAATTGTAAAAGTAGTGAGCTTTCACAACTTAATCGAGTCAAATTGTAAATAAAGATGAACACTTGAACTTATGATTTACAGAAGCAGAGAAAAAAAAGCATGGCATTTTGTAAAGCAAAAACTTATTTTTTTTATTGCTGAAATAATTTTTCGTTTTGGTTCTTGTGGGGAATTCAAATAAGCATATTTCAAATTTAACTTTTGATATGACATTATCTTAATTAACTGACAAAATGTCATAATGACACAAGTGATAAAGTTATAAAACTATTTATTTACTGTTTTATTGCAAAACGATGCATTGCTATGAGTTGCTGATATGAACATTTGAATGGCTTTCTATTTGCTTCTTGAGCATTTTATGTAGCATCTTGAATGATTTTTCTTCTGCATGGATGTAAAATTTCTACTGTAATACAGGATGTCATAAAATGGTACAGAAGAAGCTGATAATAGTTCTACATGTTCTAATTAGGTACATTAATAAAACAAATATATACGTATATTTGGTTTAAAGAGTTCCTGAGTCTGCAATTTATATCGTGCAGTTCTATGTTTATTTTCGTAAGATTTGATCATGTCTCCTTTATACAACTCTATGAGAATGATGAAATTATAAAAAATTAGGAGGTTTTTTTTCCTGATCTCATAAAATGAGAATCTGACTGTAGTGTATAGACTGTAATATCAGTTCTTCAGTAAGTGTGAAAAAAGACATAATACTAAGTGTACCTTACCCCTTATATAGTAAATCTCTATGTGTTAGTATATTAAGTACTTCTAGCTACTAGCTCCAGACTAGAGGGAATGTATTTTCTATGTGAAGAAGAATGTTTTTATAAATTAATTTAGCAGTTCTAAGAGTCGCAGACTAGAAAGAATAATCAGCGTATTAGCCTGCTTTAATGATTTTCTTGGCTATTCAGACTGGATTATTGAGCATGACAACGTTATTATTTACCACCCGGAGACTGTGATCAATTGTGATAATCATTTAAATATTGCATGTGACATATCGACTAACGCTGCTTTAACAATAATTTGCTTTGCTGGTCACTGTAAGGTCACTGTAAGGTCACTGTAACTAACATTTGGCTGTCACTCCTGACCTGAACTTTACTGTAGCTATAGGTACTGTTTATTGTCGGTAAACATTACACCATAGAAACTTCCCCTACTCTACAATTGTCTTAACCCTTTCACCACTGTAGACCATAATGGACTCATCCAGATCAAAGCATGGTAGAGTCTACTAAAGTTACCTAGGGGTGAAAGGGTTAATTGGACATTAATTTAGTTATGGAAATTTTTCAGTTGATCATTGATTAATTATCATGGAAAAAATATTGGTCAGGGTCGTTCCAGTCTTAATCTAATAGAAGTCAACCTACGAGATAGATAATGTGTATTTGTAAGAAACAGTTTGATGGTTTGGAATAATCACATCACCCATACATAACTAATTATTTATTCTGTCCCATTGCCTCACTAAATCTAATTCTGGAATAGCCATCTCTTTTAGTTATTATAGATATTGAATTTAATAGTGTAGACTAATTAACAGTAGTCATTAAATGTAGATCATTAACAATTATTACATAAGTTGGTTTGAAGAATACCAATAGTTGGATATAGTTGCCTTGTAAATTGACTGTGATTTTGTTGTCTGTAAATATATAGTGATTTCAGTTTATTGTTGATTTCAGTTGTATTGAACTTTAGAAAACAATACAAATTTTTGTGATCCTCCTGTTTCCAAATAACATGTAGAGCATTGTAAAAAAACCAATGATAAGATATAGTTATTACCAGGTATGTAGATTTTAATAATTCAGATATTTTCATCAACAAAAAATGCTTCATTATTAGCTGATGTGAAATTGTTCAATTTGCCAAAATAAAACATCAAAAACTCCGGCAGTATTGTCCTTGCTTTACATAGCTAAATAAAATGTGTTTTCTCAACATTAAATAATATGACAATAGGTATTAAAATTGAAACTGTTAAAATTTGTATATCAAATAGAAGATGGATAATACTTTCCATTTTAAAAAATGAATAGTTCTTAAACATTGCAGTTTAATTTGATTTTTTTATTTGTAGATTGTATCAAAAAAATAAATAAAGTGCTTTTGTATTATGTTGACATTCAGTTGCAGCTTACATCACATTCCAGGTTGCAGGGAATTCCTTAAACTACTTAATCTTCTTGTATATAAATATGAATTTCATTTTAGTAATAATTATCATAACTTAAGTATGCATGTTCATTACCTACATCCATCTTTTTAGCTCCAAAACTAAGGGTTAAACAAATTCTACCTTCCCTACCTACCCCCACGGGACCCGTATCTCGACAACGGACACAGAGTGATCTCCCTTCCTTTTATCTCAATTCTGCACTTTTTCATAAATTTTCTGATTTTGAACCCCCAGCATCTATTTGACCCATATCTCGACGATAGAGACACAGAGTGATCTCCCTTCCTTTTATCCCAATTCTACACTTTTTCGTAAATTTTCTGATTTTGAAACCCCTGTCCCACTTGAAATCACCTTCTGTAAGGACACTTGAAGACAAGATTGGTTCTCCTTACCGCTGGTATTGTTTCTATAAAGGTGATTTTTATTTCCCCAGGACGCAGGAGGACAAGGTATAGGTTTTCTCCTGGGCAGTCTGAACGTCCAGTGGGCCCTTACCTCGGAGGCTTGTCATAAAGGCATGAGTAAATCATCCAACGGCGATGTGGCAGCCTTCAAAGGTATGACGTCGTAGACTTCCGTGACGCGGAAAATAACTTCAGTGTCCCATACTTTGAGAGTACTTACTTCAGTGGAAACAAATTTTAGCAAATCATTGACGAATTGGCACGCTTGCAAGATATAGAACAGAAAAGTGTTCGGAAAAACTTTTTAGGAAGCGCAATCATACATTAGCGCGATGTTTAAAGGGTGAAAAGCACTGAAATTAGGAAACCGCTAAAATTTGTTCGTTTACAGTATATCAGTCATTCAGCTTGTGATATTGCTGAAATCCTATTAGAAAATTTTAATGGGACTTACCTTGTTGCCTATGAATCACTATATTATATGCACATACTTGGACAAAATACCAATTCATATTAAGTTCTCCAGCTTAATTTTTGTCGGTGAAGATGACAATCCGTGAGAACAGATTTGTAAAAAAAGTATGAAAGTATGTCAACCTATTTACACATGAAAAAAAATGACAATGGATATATTGTTTCCAATGTACTGATTTATTTCTAGGCTGGCCTAAGCTTAGCTGGTTCATCACAGATCATCTAAGTAAACCTCCTAAAGACTGGCACCCTCCTCCAAAACAGTCAGAAGATGTCCCTGCTTATGTAGAGGTAAGTGTATCTCCTCACAGTAAGTAAACCTCCTAAAGACTGGCACCCTCCTCCAAAACAGTCGGAAGATATCCCTGCTTATGTAGAGGTAAGTGTATCTCATCACAGCAAGTAAACCTCCTAAAGACTGGCACCCTCCTCCAAAACAGCCTGTTGACTCAACGTCAACAAATCAAAACATCCAATAGCTTCCCAACTAACACAGGAAGAATCCGTTTAACAAGGTTGTTACATCACTGTTTGGTCCTGTGAATTAAAATAACCACAAATGTCAATGTACAAACAGTAAGTAACATGGTACCAAAGGGAAGGCAGTCACTGTAGGGGTGACGGTCACCAGCAGTGCTATCTCGTGTAACTAAGGCAGCTGAAAATAGCAGGCAAAGATCAGGAACAAGGTTAACCATGGACAATTTGGCATATCAAGGTGTTCAGACATGCCTGGACCAAAAATAAAATGCTACCTTTCACTAGTTTTAGGTATTTTTACATAAAGTCACTGATGAATCACATGGATGTTTAAGGAAATCTTATAAAACTGAGTACACAGTAATTAGATAGAATTCTTTGTTTATTGCTAAATATTTGACAGTTCTGCCTATTAAGTCAATCAGATGCATTTATCAGAAAAAAATGTCTGTGCCGTCAAGAGTAACAGGGATATGCAGAGGTAACATATATATATATATGTGTCTATTTTACAGTATACACAGAGTAAGGAGGGAAGTACAGTAGGGGTGAAGGTCACCCGCAGTGCTATGTTGTGGTACTAATATATATGTGTCTATTTTACAGTATACACAGAGTAAGGAGGGGAGTACAGTAGGGGTGAAGGTCACCCGCAGTGCTATGTTGTGTCATTGCCAGACACTTACAGTAGCCTCCAACTATACAGAAGGTGAGTTAACTCATTCACCCCTACATATTTAAACTGGACTTGCCCAGTCCTTGATTTTGTAAGGTTCAAATCTGACTTTAGGGGTAAATGGGTTAATAAATGGGAAAAGTTCAGGGCTCAACAAAAGATTTATCCAAAAGTCAATGAATTGTCTATGGCTATTGGCTCTGTATGGATATATTATCTGAATATTTTTTGACTTTCAATCAATATTTCTTCAATATTAGCTTTGAGGTTGCTCAAATGCATGAATCCAGAGCATCAATCCTGGAATCTTCCACAAGTTCTATGCAACATAGTTACATGTCGGCGAATGTTAAATGTCATTTTAACTCTGAATAATTTGGCGATTAATCTTTAAACATTTGCCATCAGCCCATTCTAACTGATATCCAATCTTTCTAACTGCTATATGAGGTGTAATGGTGAACAGTTTCAGTATAACCTTATATACTCACGTTCTTCATTACAGGTGAAGTGATGGTGTGCGTTCTAGATTTCAAAAGAGACGTTGGCCTATGGCATGGTATTTTATGTGTAAGTTTCATCATGAGTGGAAAAAAAGTTACTTATTTGTCGCTAGGAATAATAAGAACATTAACAGTGAATTTCAGTACAGCAATCTTCTTCCACCCTTTTAAAAAGGGACGTTTCAAAAGGTGAACAATGCATCATACTTGTAAATGATGGGGTTCCATAGAAATAATGGTCAGATCCACTTCAATATGTTTCTAATCAAGAAAATAGACTTTGGCTTTGTTTCTTATAAACGAAGGGAAAAGAAAAAGATATATTAATAGGGGAATGGTGCTGACATTTCGTTGCCATACTACTATATTTAACCTGGGGTAAAACCTTATAGGCCAGCACATAATCACTGGCGCAACGTAGGGGATTGGCTTCTTACAGAATGATGAAAAAGTATATGTTGGCATTTCCTCTGATAGACAATAGATATGGGTGGGCTTATTACCAGGCATGGGCTTATTGCTGGGAAAATGCTGTATGCCATTGGCCCATGGAGTAGAAATAAGGAGGATATGGGTTTCTTTTGATTTTTGGCCATAAATCCCAAGATAGGCTTATTCTATATCAGTTATATAATACTTTTTTAAAGACTTGTAATAAAAGATATTGGTTCATTCAATTATGATGCATTATAATATTTCAAATTTGTTTTCTCTGTTACAGAGTGTATTTAATGGCATGCATGTGATATTTATACCTTATTCCCTGATGAAGATTGACCCAGCGTCCTGGATGAAAATGATAACAAAATATAAAGGTGAGCAACACATCGATTGTTTTTGTCATTTTTAGCTCACTTGGCCTTAGGGTTGAAAAGAATTTGCAGTGAAAACTGTCTTTTGTTGAAGGTATTCTCAGTGTTGAAACATATCTCCTTACTCATACCAAGTTGTATTACAGTACAAATAGAAATATAAAAAGATGAATGTGCAAAGAATATCAAGCTGATGATAATTGTTGTTGACTGAACCCTTTCAACACTGTAAACGATAATGGGCTCATCCATAGCAATGCATGGTAGAGTCTACTAAAGTTACATAGTGACGAAAAGGTTAACTCATTCACCCCTAAAATTTCATAATGAACTTTTCCAACCTTTGAAATGTGTCTTCAGGGGTGAATGAGTTAAATGATAAAATGTTCGAGTCCTAATTGGGTATTCGTTTTCAGCTAGATGTGTACCTTCCTTCAATGTCCACAAAAACTTAATGTTAATATTGTACAAATAATTTTTCTACTGTTGTAAATTCTTTAACTAAAAACATGAAGATTGTGAATTCTTGGCTTATAGCAAAATCATATATCTAACTCCTGGTAAGGAATTTTCTGCTGAATGACAAACTAAACTTTTGACAATAACAGACTAAAACGGCGTGTCCTCTAGGATTTGTATTTGTTAAAACCTGTTTTATGGTGATTGTTTGGTGTTATTTACAGCTTCCGTTGGAATTGTCAAGTCGCGAGACATGCACTGGGGCCTGTTGGCACAGAAGGACCACAAGGATGTCAACTTTAGTTCTCTACGGCTGCTGCTGGTGGCTGACGGGGCCAATCCGTGTAAGTCTCCTCTACAGTCCAATAGTGTCAAAGGCAATTAATGTTTCAACTTCAGAAAAAGGACTAAAAGAAAGAAAAAAACAGATATAGATATAATGTTAACCTAAGATTTTACGTGACGTATGGATGCAACAACTATTATTGCATGGTTCTGACCTCTCAATAGCTGAGTGCTAAGTCACTGGAGACGAGTTCAGTAAGAAAACCCTACTTTATTTTGAAATGGGAAGTTTACGATAATAATTTCTTTATTAAACAATTTACAATATTACAATATAACTTTGATACTGAAAGTAACTTTATATTGGCAAGAAATTAACATTTGCATTCATTTGAGGAGCCTCGTGTACAAATTTACATCTTTGGGAATATTTGTATACCCCCGCCATAAAAATGGGGGGGAGGGGGCATATAATGTTGCCCATGTCCTTCCCATCCGTCCCGTGAGTGGGGGCATTTATGTCTTACAGACATTTTCTTCTTTCCATAGATATTTGTTATGAATATTGAAAAAGCATAAAATTTGGAATTTATTCTTAAATAAAACTTTCAGGCAAATTTTGCAAAACAAAGAGCAGGCAACACTAATTGAATTGTCAACATTCTGAAACCTTTTGTTAACTCTGTTCATGTACTCGATAAGGGAGATAACCAGTACACTTGCTGTTGACAGGGTCCCTGACATCATGTGATGCCTTCCTCAACGCGTTCCAAAGTAAGGGTCTGAAGTCGGAGGCGATCTGCCCGTATGCCAGTTCCTCAGAGGCCCTCACTGTCTCCATCAGAAGGTGAGTCACTCCACCCAGGTTATCTAACCTTAATTCATGTACATGATCAGACTTCTAACTGAGTATATTACATATGACCTTGACATTATGTAGTGACCTTGACCATTAATGTGTTCATACAACCCACTTGTTGCCGTATGTATAAGGTATGACTTTGATATTTGTATATGACATTAACATGATTTACCTTGACATGTGTACTATCTGACCTTTGTATTTGATTATGATGTGACCTTGACCTATGTTTGTAGGCCTGGTAAGACGAGTGCCAGTAAGACAGGACGAGGTATCCTGTCAATGCAGGGTCTAAGTCACGGCGTGGTGCGGGTCGACACTGAGAATAGCCTCACTTCACTCACGCTTCAAGACTGTGGCCAGGTCATGCCAGGAGGTCAGTAGAGGTCACTAAGGTCAAAGAGGTTCTCAATAAAAAGTGCCATTTTATAATGCAGTGTATATGAAGTTGGCCTTGCTATGTTTCTTGATCAAATGATAAGAGAATCTCTCTGTACTAGTAAAATAACATTTTGTGTAGGTTTGATTTCATGATAAATTTTTCTTGGAGAATATTGGAGAAGTCACTACTAGTGTTTTCAAAGTAATATTTCAGTATGGGCTACAGGGTTATTTAGGGGCAGGGGTGAATTTTAACCTATATAATGAAGTACAATGAAGTAACACATCAGATCTAACAATCAAGAGATGGAATTTTTGTCTTTCTAACGTCTCTTATGTTTTTGCTCATTTTGGTTTAATATGTAACCTGGAATAAATAGAAATTCTTATTTTGTCTTGTAACTTTACCATAAAACTGACGGTATCATATTATTGTGTAATAACAATGTCTCATGTCTCCTTGTTTGTAGCTGTGATGGTGGTAATTAAAATAGAAGGACCGCCGATACTTTGTAAGACGGACGAGGTTGGCGAGCTGTGCGTATGTTCTGGTTACGCGGGCACCGGGTACTGGGGCCTACAGGGAATCACTAGTAACACTTTCCAGATTCAGCCCTTCCACGGTGACGGCCGGTCTGCCGGGGAGAAGATGTATGTGAGGACCGGACTTCTCGGCTTTCTGGGTCCCGTAAGTCTTGTTTTTACAATATACAGTACATTTCACTTAATAGCATGTCGCTTAATGTCACTTTTCTGGTATTATCATGTTTTCTTGATGCACAGTTTTTCCTGCGATAAAATGTATGTAATTCAATTCTTATATTATCACTTGTTTTGGTGTCGATTTTGCTTGATATCACTTTATTTTGGCAACTGTCCCAACAAATCAATGAAATTAACAAATAAAAGACGATTATTTCACTGTTAATAAAGAAAAGCTGTGTCAGTTTCAAATATTTTTACTAAACGATCTTTTTTATAAAACCATAACACTTGGACATTTAATTATGGTCACTTCAAGGTTTTGACATCAGAAATGGTCAGAAAAAGATGTTTTCTTTTTATGTCATGCTCTGGTTAATATCATGTTTTTCTCTGACAAATGAGAAGTGATATTAAGTGAAATCTACTGTATTGGTTTTGTTTACCTCAACCAGAAGAACATGCAGAAGTGACATAGGACAAAAATGAAATTCAGTTTTGTCTTATTTAGTGTTATAGAGGTTTGTACGTGTAAGTAATTGCTTTAAAACTTAAGAGATGTTAACTCTCAAATATATATTTGGTGTTTATTGTAAAACTTGTTAACTCTCAAATATATATTTGGTGTTTATTGTAAAACTTGTTAACTCTCAAATATATATTTGGTGTTTATTGTAAAACTTGTTAACTCTCAAATATATATTTGGTGTTTATTGTAAAACTTGTTAACTCTCAAATATATATTTGGTGTTTATTGTAAAACTTGTTAACTCTCAAATATATATTTGGTGTTTATTGTAAAACTTGTTAACTCTCAAATATATATTTGGTGTTTATTGTAAAACTTGTTAACTCTCAAATATATATTTGGTGTTTATTGTAAAACTTGTTAACTCTCAAATATATATTTGGTGTTTATTGTAAAACTTGTTAACTCTCAAATATATATTTGGTGTTTATTGTAAAATTTGAAATTTTAGCTTGTTTTGTTTTCACAACTTAAGCTCTATTACACAGGAAATGAATTCAAAACAGGAATAGGGCATACGTACAAGTACAGATGTGGAAAGGGAAAAATAGAAATCTGCGTGAGAGGGAAGTGAACTTTCCAAAAGAACAGTGGTGCGTGTGTGAAGACCAAAATACTTGTCCTCCATTGATGAATATAACCGATGTGTTGTGTTTCAGGGAGGTCTGGTGTTTGTGTGTGGCAGTAAGGAGGGTTTGATGAGTGTCTCGGGTCGCAGACATAACACAGATGACATCATCGCCACGGTGTTAGCAGTAGAACCAATGAAATTCATATACAGAGGGAGGTATGTATGTTCACGATAAACCAGCATGTCTTCACACAGGGAAGAACATGCCAGTATGTATTTACGTTAAAAGTTGTATCTTTGAATACAACTTTTTAGTGTGTATGGCTATAAGTGACAATGTTGGATTGAGATGTTGTTATCGAATCTGATGTAAAAAATCTTTTGATCTATCGGTTTTAACATTGATGTCCTAGTATGAGAGGGAGCCGGGGTGGTTAAGGCATCTGACATTCTGCTATCACTTGCCCTACTCCAATGGCTCACGGGTTCGAGACCTACGTGGGGCAGTCGCCAGGTACTGGCTGTAGGTCGGTGCTCCACCATCAAAACCTTGCACGTCCTTAAATGACCATAGCTGTTAGAAGGACGTAAAACACAGACAAACCAAGTATGAGAATTTGGGGGGGGGGGGCAAAANCTAATATGTTTCTTACATTCCTATGCAATATTAATATGTTTTAATGATTTCTTATTTCCTCATATTATGCTGCAGTGTAACACTAATGAATGTGAATACCAGTCAGACACAAGTCTAGTTAATTAATACCAGTCAGACACAAGTCTAGTTAATTAATACCAGTCAGACACAAGTCGTCTAATTAATTTACACCAGGCCACAAAAAGTTTCCTGAATAACTACCAGGTACCAATTTCAACATAACTTTTGTCATTTCACTCATTAATCAACAGAATTCAGTCGTCAAATCTGTCAGCTTTAGCAGATATTAATAAATTTATTTCCCTTGATATCGAAGTTTCACTTTCTTCACAAACAATGTACGCATTAAACGTGTCGCAACGTTTCAAGACCGACTGGACGCTTTGTCAAGCTATGACAAACGTTGCGACACGTTTAATACGTACATTGTTTGTGTAGAAAGTATAACTTTGTTATCACATATTTCCAAACTGATGAATCTTATTGAAGATTTATCTCCCTTGTTTCACAGGATTGCAGTATTTTCCATACCAGTGCTGAAAGATGAGAGAATTGTGATTATCGCAGAGCAGCGACCTGATTGTACAGAGGAAGAGGTAAGTGTTTTACAGATTATCTTGGCCGCTCTATGTCCATTCATTTATTTGAACCTTGTTCACATCCCCAGTTTATAGCTTATTTTGATACTGTAAAAGCACTTATCCAAACCTCGCATGTCTCCTGTTCAGTTTGGTAAGTTGGCTTGTTACAGTATTAATTGAATGCCTTACCAGATCATCTGCAAAACCATTCTCCAATTATATCGGTACCTTATGGACTATATGCACCTTTTTTTTGTCAGGTTTACAATGTGTTCAATGCTTTTTCAGAGTTTCCAGTGGATGAGTCGAGTTCTCCAGGCGGTAGATAGCATACACCAAGTAGGGGTGTATTGCCTAGCTCTAGTCCCTCCAAACTATCTCCCCAAGGTAAGTAAAGCCTCTCAAATCTAGGGCAGTATGTCCTTTTAGAGTTATGTTGGATTATCTGAGTATACAGCATTATAGCCTGTGTCTATTAATCTATAGGTAAGGAGGTTTGTTTAAAATTTGAATTGCCAAGCACTAATCGAAAATGTAAAATTTGGCATAATGAGATTGAATAAAAGTTGAGAAAAGAATTATGCAGTATTAAGCTGTATCAGCTTTGATGTGAGTTGCCTTATGCTTGACTGTTTGCTTCCTACTTTTCTAATCAAGATCAGCACTGTAAAGTATAACAACTCGCTTACTTTTCCTCCAGGGCCTGTATTCTTGAAACCGTTTTCATGCTCAAGCATGGATTCTGTGCTCAAACCAGCTTTCTTGTAACTCACTTAAATCATGTCAAACGATCAAAAAGTCAAGTGTAAACATTAAAAACAGTATTTGGCTTTAAGTCTTTTCAAATTGTTTTCCAAATATTTGTAAAAATAAAATGTTCTATTAACTTATAACTGAAACAAGAAATTCGGCTTGAACACAAAATCCATGATTGAGCACGAGAATGATTTCATGAATACGGTCCCTGGACTCTCTGTTCAAACCCTGCTAAATAAATGAAAAAAATTGTATGGAAGATATTTCCAAAAATACTAAGACTAATGAATTTTAAAGTTAACACTTTTGGATTCAATGGCAAGAAACCAAAGAAATACTTTTCCGATTTAAGAATATGTTGTTTGGAAAATTGATGTCATTTGCCTGACATCGACTTTATCAGTTGAGCCTAGGAATTGATATTTTGATACTTCAATGTTTCTATATAATCCTCTTGGTTTGCAGACACCACTTGGTGGTATTCATCTCCACGAGACAAAGAAGAAATTCCTGGACGGATCTTTACACCCGGCCAATGTGTTGATGTGTCCTCATACGTGTGTAACCAACCTCCCTAAACCTCGGGAACACCGGCCAGGTACCTACTGTTTACCAAATAATGTCTGCTCTGTGCCCTGCGTAATGAAGGGAATTTATTATGATGGCCATTACTAGTATACAGGAAGCACGGTAGTCTAGTGGTAGGACGCCAGGCTCGTGACAGAAGGGTTGCGAGTTCAAGTCATGGCACTGTGTTGTATCTTTGAGCAAGATACTTTACTCTGCTTGTTCCAGTCTACTTAGATGTAAATGATTATGTGGATGGGCAGTGCTAGAATTGTAGAATGCTAGCTGTGAGTGCCGAAATGGCAGCACTGGCTGTATGCTCGCCAGGGAGTTGAGAAATATATTGGCTAGTTGCAAAGGCCCTATAACCACAGATAATAATTTTTGAAACACTTTGAGACGACCTGCAAACTAGGTTGTGATAAAGTGGTATATAAGAACCTCGAATTATTTTATATACAGCTTACACTATACGTTATTACACCTTGTCTGATTGGATTATATTGATCACATGACTGGGAAATATAACATCTTGTACGTTTACCCTATCGTGTGCTCGTGTTCCTCCAGTCATATTTCCTTTATTCTGAGCATCTCTAGGAAATAAACCAGAGGCGCCACAACTGAGTTTCGAGTAACTGAAGCAGATAACAACAATGGTATGGAAGCCTTGGCATCTTCACTGTTGTGTTATTGTTCTGTTTTGGTCTAACAGAATATTTATTGCTCCTGTGGTAGGGAAATATGATTCTTTGTTTCCTCTTGATTAATCATGTTTCACTCTGCGTCACCATCGTGAAACCTGATTAATCAGGAAAACCAAAAAAGATGTTTCCTTACCATAAGGGCTATTAATGTACGGTGTTTTTAATTCAAAGGATTGCATTTTTACATGGTTAATTGGTTTTAACTGGTGAACAGTGAAACATTCCAGGCATATACAATACGTCTCTTTCAAGTTTCCGAAACTAAAATTTTCATTTGCAATGTACAGGTTACTGTGATTATTTATAAGGAAAATCATGGTACTTATTATTCACAGTCTTGGGCTTCTTGGTAAATTTTAGAAAATGGTTAGAAAGTGTAAAACTTTGAAAGAATTGTAACGCAACTGTTACATATTGCATAATATATGGAAAGACTTCTATCAGATTAGAATTCAGAAATAGGGACAGTATAATTGTGACCACTTATTTGATTACAGATGTCACGCCCTCCGCTGTACATGTAGGGAACATAGTACAAGGGGCTCGCATGGCCTGGGCACAGGGGAGAGAACTGAGCGTGTCAGACGAGGATTCGGACTCCGCTCGAAAGGTACCGGTACGGCAAATATCATTTTCATCATCATCATCAAATTATTCAAGGGAAGTTGTTATTTTCTGAAGCAGTTTTTTTTTTTCTAAGTGAACATCAGGTGTTGAAATTTACATGCTAAATCTGACTTAAAAATTCATTCATAAAAATGTTAATTTTCAATCAAACTTTAAAAAATCCATTTGTTGAAAATAAAACAATAAAATGAATTATTTCAATGTGTTTTGGAATAAGTAATTGTGTTCCTAGATCAAGTTTGAAAATTTAAAAAGCACATCATGAATTTTCAGGTTTCTTCATGGATTGTTAAAGATCAAAGAATGTCTATTTCTAATATCACTTCCCATCATTATCATCATCATGGGTATATATCTATATGTGATCTCGGGACGTCTATGACCAGTGTGTGTCTACTTGTGTATACCTGTCTATCTTACAGCACCAGTTCCTCACAGAGATCCTACGCTGGCGATCACAGTCTACACCGGACCACAATATCTATACATTGCTCAATTCTAAGGTAGGTAACTCTATAAAAGAAAACATAAGCTGGTTGTCCTGATAGTAAGGAAAATATTTTGGAATGCTTTAAACATATATACTTTGTCAAGCAATCAATATAGAATGTTATAATATATCTGGAATTGGAGGTTTTCCTCTGTTAAATCTGTTCACCATTCATTCTATTGACTATTCACAACATCTAATACTTAATCAAAAATCTGTATTTTTTATTTGGATTATAAACTTATCTTAGACTGTAATATTCAAAAATATTTTCCTTGCCGAAAACACTCCAGATAAATATTGAGTATTGTATAAATGAATATTTTTAGGGTGGAATATTTTCAATCAATATTCTTTTATATTTTCAATAATCTTGATGTTCATAATTATGAAGAAGACTGATTAATGATTTTCAATAATTTGTTGTTGTCTAATACTTTCAATTTAATATAAAAACCTCTGCAAATATTGGATATTTTAGCACAGTAAGATATACATGTAAAAAAAATGCCAAAATGTTCACATCCTAAAAATATTCACTCTATTGTATTAAATATGTTATAATGTGCATTTTATTTTAAACATATTTTGTGGTTTTAAATGGTATTTCTATGGAATTATGGCATAATTTTTACTGTTGTGAATTTATTTTTGTTTCTCAGTTTAGTATTATTTTGGTATTTTTGGTTTTTTTTAGTTGTATTTTTTTGTTTCAATGTTGTTGTAGCCCAAGTATAAAATCTGTTTCCCCACGTAATTGTTATAAATAACCTGTTTCACATTTTCATATTTTCTGCAATGTTCTTAATGTTTGTTGGATATTTTGTTACCTTGTACTGGCTGGAGGATTTTTGCATTTCGTTTTATTTTAACAAAACCACAAATGGAACAGATTTTTTTTTGAAAGAATGAGATTTTACCATAAAATGGGAAAAGAAATAAGCATGATTCATTTACCCAATTTGTTTCTGGTTTGAAGTTGAATGCAAACAACATACAATTACAATGTAAATGATGACATTCTTTAGACAAAATGGCAGAGCAAGAAAGCTGCATAATTTTTTTTCTCACAGTCTTGTATTTCGGTAAAGAATGCAATCAAGTTGAGATATGTCTATAGTCTAACTCGACTACAAATCTTCTATTTGTTAACATTTACGTTAAAAACCACACACAATTAAGTTAAAAACCACACACAATTAAGTTAAAAACCACACACAATTAAGAGAACATTGGTCAACGAATTGAAAAAACACTTTTATTTTAATAAGCAAAATAATTATACTTCAAAACAAAATTGTTTTGTTTTTTGTTAAAATTTAATGGGAGCCAAACTATCTTTGTTTTCCTGCTAGACTACAAGTCCTCTTTGGAGTCTGGTTTATGTTTTGATTATTTTGAATTGTTTTTTTTTTTTTTTT